TCCTGGAGGTCTGGGACCCAGGGCTCTTCCCCTTGTTCCAGCTGGGAGATCACATCAGATTTGGAAACTAGAAACCCTGCTCAGATGAAAGAAAACAAAGGAGTTCAGTTGATTTCATACGACTGTGTCATAAAAAACACTATTAATTTAACTTCAGTACTTAGTGTGACCTGGTGTGCCTGGGGCAGTCCTCACTGAAAATGCCAAGATCAGGGTAGGCTGAAAAAGGCAGAGCAGATGCTCCCCAAACTGGTGGTTAACACTGAAGTTAAATTCACCGACCACTCACAAACTGTGCTTCTGATCCCCCACGCTGGTTATCGAGAAACTGAAAAAAGAAATCACAGCCCCCTTTATTGCATTGCACTTCTCTGACTCCCAATCAGCACCTAGGTCCAGTACAGTGAGAGGTTATTTAAAAACTCTGCTCATATAAACAAACTGTTCTTCTGACCTCAGAGTCAGCCACATTACCTGGTCACTATAGTATTTTGGGTAAGAGCCAAACCTATGATGCCAGCCAATCCTTTAGAATCTAAACTAAAGGTTTATAAGACAGAAAGCAAGCAAGCATCTCAACTAAAGGTTTATTATAAAAGAAAGAAAGAAAGAAAGAAAGAAAGAAAGAAAGAAAGAAAGAAAGAAAGAAAGAAAGAAAGAAAGAAAAAGGGAGTTGTTCAATGGGAAAGCAGTTAGATACATTCAGAAATCTATATATCTGGTTCTTAGCAGCATTGATAAGTTCCTGGCTTGAAAGCCTGTCTGAAACACATCCACATTATTTAGTTCTTTGTTCAAGGCTTCAGTTTGTAGAGAAGTTGATCCAGAGGTAGGAAGAGGGATTGAAGACAAAATGGAGATGATGCAACTGCCCTTTATATTCCTTTTGCAGTATGGCTTCTACTTCCTTTGTCCCAAACACAAGCTTCACAGCACATGGCATGGAAAAGCCTTGGAGTTCTCAGTACACAGGCATACCCCTGCATGTCTTGCTGACTCAATAGGTGTATCCTCTTAGTTCTTTCCAGGGGCTCATTGTACAGCTGATGACCCTGGATGGGCCATCGAACAGGCTAGGCAGCGCTGATGCCAATATGTCTGGGGATGTCACCCAAAAACACTGCACAAGTCTGGAAATACAGATATACCCTACATATCTATAACTCACAATACAAAGGTGATACAAAGATAGAAACAAAATTATCATACTTGGAAAATCATAATATTTTCATTGACACCTTACATGGCACATCTAGCTCTGACGTTATTGATATAATCTGGGACCATATAGATCATTGTTGCAACCAAGGTCCTGTAGTGGCACCCAAATCTGGTATAAAGGGGGTCAAATGGGGTGTCTAGGACAAGGTTATGGTTTACTGGTTATGATTATGCTGTCTATATGTGTGTATCAGTTTTGTAGTTGAAGTTATGAGTATTGGCTCTATACTGTCTGTATGGCAAACTTATGCTATGCTTCTGGGTAACATCCCAGACAAGCTGAGATGAGCTCTGCCTAGCCTGCTTGATGGCCCATTAAGGACCATCAGCTATACAATGGACCCATTGAGAGAAGACAAATATGCCTTGAGACTCAGCAAAGTATGTAGGAACTTGCCCATGTGACTCCAGACTCCATTTTGCTGTAATTTTCCACAGTAAGAACAAAGAGGTGTTCTTACACCTGGAAAAGACTATATAAGGCTGATGCCTCATCTCCATCTGGTCTTCAACCCTGCTTCATACCCCTGGAGGAACTTTGCTACACACTGAAGCTTTGAACAAAGGACTGAGGATCCATCCCAGCGGGGGATGTATTCTAGAGACTTGATTTGAATCTGCAGTTTATTCTATTGCTGTTGCAAGCCTGAACCAAGAACTTTGCCATTACTGTATGTAATTGATTCCATTTAACCAATTCTAACTCTCGTCTCTATCTTTTTCCTTTTATGAATAAACCTTTAGATTTTAGATTCTAAAGGATTGGCAACAGCGTGATTTGTGGGTAAGATCTGATTTGTATATTGACCTGGGTCTGGGGCTCGGTCCTTTGGGATCAGGAGAACCTTTTTCTTTTACTGGGGTATTGGTTTTCATAACCATCTGTCCCCATAACGAGTGGCACTGGTGGTAATACTAGGAAACTGGAGTGTCTAAAGAGATTGCTTGTGAGACTGGCGGTTAGCCAGTGGGGTGAGACCGAAGTCCTCTTAGTCTGGCTGGTTTGGTTTGCCTTAGAGGTGGAAAAAACCCAGCCTTGGGCTGTAACTGCCCTGTTTGAGCAATTTGTCCTGAGTTGGCATTCTCAGTTGGGTTCTGCCAGATCCGCATTGTCACACTAGCAGAATTCATTGCAATTTTATCATATTGGTATTCATAATAAAATAATAATAATATAAAGTGTCTCTCAATTCCATACAGAATCACTTAATAAACCAGTGAATTCCCAGGACAGACTCCCCTGGTCTTTGAAGATGCCAAACACCTTGATTGTGAGGGATTGAAATACCCACATATATGTTGGGAAAACACATGAACACTGTGCAAGTCTGTACCCCTATGTTCACTCTTCTACAAAATAATGATCAATTTTGTACATAGTATGTGTCAGGGCTAAATCCCCACTCTATCACTCTAAGTGCAGAAAGTGGGGGCCTGCAAGGATTCTAAAATTAATTTGTGCCACTCTAGGCTTGTAGTAAACCTCCAAGGTTTCAGCTTTTCTCTGACCTTGGCTTGGTAAATGTTTCCACGACCCAAATGCAAAAAACCCCTTTGGGGCACCCTCAAGCCCTTTCATCTCCCCTCCAGAAAAGAGGGGAGAAAGAAAACAAAGGAAATTAGCTGAGGCTACCAGATAATCAAACAACATGCAAAAACCTCTTAGGACACCAAAAATCCAATCCCATTCTTAAAAGAGGTAAATTTTATTAAAATTAAAAAGGAAAGGAATATATCTGGAACTTAGGCTTTTGCTATCTCTTAAAAGAAAATTAACTTTTGTAAGCACCCCAAATAGCTTTCTTGGAGGTTCAGCTTAAAGCTTACAAGCAAACAAAAGCATCTAGGATAGCACAGAGGAGATCCAAAAGCCAAAATAAAAAATAAACCTGATTTGTCTGTCTAAACATTCCCTATTCAAATAATTTATTCTAGGTAGGGAACATGAATTTTCATACCTGGTTCAAGCCATGCACAGCATTGCTACTCCATGTCTCCTTCTAAGGAGAAGGACAGACAAAGGGAAAGTTACTTTCCCATTTAAAAAAGTTTAGCCTTTCCATTGGCTCTTTTGGTCAGGTGCCCACTCCTTTTCTTTTACCTGTGGGCTTGTTAATCCTTTACAGGTAAAGCAAGCAGAGAACTCACACCAACAGGGATTTTACAGCAAACTGGCTGGCTGGGTGTTACAAAAGGGAGCTCTATCCCCTCCCCTTCATTTATCATTTGAAAAAGACATTATTTACTGAATATCCTCCTGTTAAAATGTGTAGCAACAGTGTATGTAAAGTTATGAGATTTTACGGTATGATATTACTGAAAAAGTTGCAACCCTAACCCTAAGTTCCTCAGAGACAGCAAGGCAAACACCTGGTCAAAAAGCCATTTTCCAGCAGGGGGAAGGTGTGAAGAAGACATTTACATTCCACCACAGGGACCAGTTGAAGCTCATATCTACAACAGACAGTCTGTCACCATTACTCAGCTGAGAACTGAAGTTGTTTCTAGTACAAAGGACTGAATTATAAAAAGAGGTGAGGAAAATGC